AAAAAAATATTTTATTCAGGTTTTTTTTTTTTTTCTCTCTACAGAGAGGAAGGGAGAGGGATTGAGAGTTAGATATTTCATGAGAGAGAAACATGGATTAGCTGCCTCCTGCACACGCCTTTCTCGCGATGTGCAGCAACCAAGGTGCATGCCCTTGACTGGAATCAAACCAAGACCCTTCAGTCTGCAGGCGGATGCTCTATCCACTGAGCCAAACCAGTTAGGGCAGGAGAGTGTTTTTTGCAGGCCATGTAGCCATTGCTAACAAGGAGCCATCAGACAAAACAGTTCTTCAAAGTAGCTTCACACAATGGCTGTGCCAAGCAGCCCTTGCTAATACAGTAGCAAACAGGAGCCATACCAAGCAGCCACGCACCGGCTGGTTAGTAACACGTTTATACTAACTTAGACACAAAGGCTTCCTGCCAAATAGTGACATCAGTATTTGGGTTAGAGTAAGGTACTCCTGCCCAGTGTGTTCAGTGCAATCTCTGTGTCCTTGCTTAGATTGGCCTTGAACATCCTGATTAGGGTTCTCCTGCTCAGATTGGCCTTGAACATCCAGCTACTCTGATTAGGCTCCCACAGGCACTATCTCAGTCATGACCCAGGTTTAAGTGTTCTCAAAACTGACTGATCAGAAGGAGGAAAAAGTGTCATGAATGTGACATAACTGTTATCTCAGGAATAACACTTAATTCACAGAAAACATAACTACAACCCTAGAGGAGTTGCATGGGAACCACAGGCTCAGATATTTCAGCCAAGAAAGCTGCTGGTGCCAAGAAGACCTCAGAGGAGAAACGAAGTCAAATTAAACTGTTTGTGATGTGAAAGCTATTTCAAACACTGTTTTTAAAGGTTGTCTAGTGCTGACATGAATGTTTGTTTTTATTCCTGTATTTGAGGATTGCAGCTTAACTGCTATGCCACAAAACGGTTTTTCATATAAGAGTTGTCTCTGAGACAGAACTGGCATCCACCTTCTACAGTGTCCGAATTTGACTGGCTGTCAGTTACTGTTCGTAGAAATGTTCTGGAAGTAAGGGGTGAGGGCTGTTTCCACCCACAGCTCATCCACTTCTTTGTAGTAATAAGCTGAACTGTAGTAGATTATGTTCTTTCAAAGCTAGAACTGTTAAGTTTGCAAACAAGCATGACTGTTCCATTGCCAGTTATTTATTCATGCCTTGGTCTTTTGGGTTTGCACCAGAATTTGCAATTGCTTGCCATTATGTGTTTAGGTGGATTGAGGCTCAAAATTAATGATGACATTTAATAGTTTCTTAAAGCATCAAGTGGTTCAACTTTTGATGAATTAAAAATGATATGTAGTTTTTGTTTCATTTCAATATGCCAGTGATCTGTTAGGTGTGCTTTTTAAATGTTGTCCTAGCATTTGAACAGAAATGCCCTTAAATGTTGAGAGCCATTTACTATAAAGTAAAACTTGTCTAAATCCTTCAATGTGAAATGTGGAGAAATTAGTGAGTAGTAGTAGGAAATGTAGGATCAATATTGTCGGACATAAGTGCTTATCTCTCAGCCCAGTGATTTCCTACAGTTGATTTTGTCAGCAACTAACATGTAGCTGTAATGTTAATTATGTGCTGATAGTGTAAGGTAACTATGAAATGGTAACTAATTACCTGAAAGAATCAGATCTGGAATGCCCTTTGATGTTATGATTACTTGTACACCTACAATGTGATAGGATTGTATGACACTCATCTAAGGATTAATGGCTCTTCTGTATACTTCTGATAATTTTCTTCTCGTTTTGATTCCAAAAGCTGGCCAGAATGTGTTTGAGTTCATACAGAAATACTGTTGATATCTAAAATCCATGTTGAACTTCTCTGAAGAAAGGGCAACAATGATTGCAGCTGTGGATTTGCAGGAATTTGTTCCTTTCGGTCGAGACCACTGCAAACACCACCCTATGCTTTGAACCTTCAGCTTCAGCAGCTGCAGCCAGCCTCTGAGCTGTGGTCGTCTGATGGTGCTGCTGGCTTGGTGGGATCCCTGCAGGAGGTTACACTCCACGAAAAACAGAAGGTTTTATTAAGATTCTCAGTTTGCTTTTGAAATGTAGAGAGATTCAATCTATTTGTAATTTAAGGCTACCCAGATGCAACTGAGAAATGAGTATGATGCTACTTCTAGGGTATAGGTTAAGATTTGCTAATTTTTATCAAAGCTAAAAATAATGACCTTAATTGTATTATAGTGTCATGGCTGTTTAGACATATAACTCAGGGATTTATAATGAGAGTCGCTATGATTATGGTCCATTTATTTTTTTTTTCCCAATTCAATCCGAACCTTAAACTTTTATTTTTTTTTTATTTTTCGCTAAAAGTATTACAAAGGGTATTACATAAGTGTCCTTTTTTCCCCCCCGCCCTTGACAAGCCCCTGCCCTCCCTTACCCCCCAGTGTCTTATGTCCATTAGTTGTGGTTATATGGATGCATACAAGTCCTTCGGTTGATCTCTTACTCCCCTCCCTCCTGTCCCCCAACCCTCCCTGGCCTTCCCACTGCAGTCCGACAATCAGTTTGAGGCAGCTCTGCCACTGTATTTATTATTGTTCAAAAGTTTGTAATGGTCTTAATTATCCATGAAAGAGTGAGATCATGTGGTATTTTTCCTTCATTGACTGGCTTGTTTCACTTAGCATAATGCTCTCCAGTTCCATCCATGCTGTTGCAAATGGTAAGAGTTCCTTCTTTTTAACAGCAGCATAGTATTCCATCGTGTAGATGTACCACAGTTTTCTAATCCATTCATCTACTGATGGGCACTTAGGCTGTTTCCAGATCTTAGCTATGGTGAATTGTGCTGCTATGAACATCTGGGTGCATATATCCTTTCTGATTGGTGTTTCTGGTTTCTTGGGATATATTCCTAGAAGTGGGATCACAGGGTCAAATGGGAGTTCCATTTCCAATTTTTTGAGGAACCTCCATACTGCCTTCCATAGTGGCTGCACCAGTCTGCATTCCCACCAGCAGTGCACAAGTGTTCCTTTTTCTCCACATCCTCTCCAGCACTTGTTGTTTGTTGATTTGTTGATGATGGCCATTCTGACAGGTGTGAGATGGTACCTCATTGTTGTTTTGATTTGCATCTCTCGGATGATTAGTGACTTTGAGCATGTTTTCATATGTCTCTTGGCTTTCTGAATGTCCTCTTTTGAAAGGTGTCTATTTAGATCCTTTGCCCATTTTTTGATTGGATTGTTTATCTTCTTTTTGTTAAGTTGTATGAGTTCCCTATAAATTTTGGAGATTAAGCCCTTATCAGATATGACGTTGGCAAATATGTTTTCCCACGAGGTGGGTTTTCTTGTTGTTTTGTTGATGGTTTCTTTTGCTGTGCAGAAGCTTTTTATTTTGATGTTGTCCCATTTGTTCAGTTTCTCTTTAGTTTCAACTGCCCTAGGAGCTGTATCAGTGAAGAAATTGTTTTGGCATATGTCTGAGATTTTGTTGCCTTTGTATTCTTCTAGAATTTTTATGGTTTCCTGTCGTACATTTAAGTCCTTTATCCATTTTGAGTTTATTCTTGTGTATGGTGTAAGTTGGTGGTCTAGTTTCATTTTCTTGCATCTATCTGTCCAATTTTCCCAACACCATTTATTGAAGAGACTATCTTGGCTCCATTGTATGTTCATGCCTCCTTTGTCAAATATTAATTGAGCATATTGGTTCGGGCTAATTTCTGGACTCTCTATTCTATTCCACTGATCTATATGTCTGTTCTTGTGCCAGTACCAGGCAGTTTTGAGAACAGTGGCTTTGTAATACAGCTTGATATCTGGCATTGAGATCCCACCTACTTTGTTCTTTCTCAGGATCGTTGCAGCTATTCGGGGTCTTTTTTTATTCCAGATGAATTTTTGGAGAGTTCGTTCTAGATCTTTGAAGAAGGCCATTGGTATTTTAATGGGAAGTGCGTTGAATTTATAGATTGCTTTGGGTAGTATGGACATTTTAATGATGTTGATTCTACCAATCCAAGAACATGGTATGTTCTTCCATCTGTTTATGTCTTCCTCTATCTCTTTTTTCAGCGTCCTGTAGTTTTCTGAGTAGAGGTCTTTAACCTCTTTAGTTAAGTTTATTCCTAGGTATCTTAATTTTTTTGGTGCGATGGTAAATGGGATTGTTTTTATAATCTCTCTTTCTGAAAGTTCACTATTGGTGTATAGAAATGCCTCAGATTTCTTGGGGTTAATTTTGTATCCTGCTACATTGCCAAATTCATGTATTAAGTCTAGTAGCTTTTTGATGGAGTCTCTAGGGTTTTGTATGTATAATATCATGTCATCTGCAAATAAGGACAGTTTTACTTCCTCTTTTCCAGTTTGGATGCCTTTTATTTCTTCTTCTTGCCTAATTGCAATGGCTAATACTTCCAGTACTATGTTGAACAGGAGTGGTGAGAGTGGGCATCCCTGTCTTGTTCCTGTTCTTAGGGGAAATGGTGTTAGTTTTTGTCCATTGAGTATGATGTTGGCTGTGGGCCTGTCATATATGGCTTTTATTATGTTGAGGTATGATCCTTCTATTCCCACCTTTCTGAGAGTTTTTATCAAAAATGGGTGTTGGATTTTGTCGAATGCTTTTTCTGCATCAATTGATATGACCATGTGGTTTTTTTTTCTTTCAATTTGTTTATGTGATGTATCACATTTATTGATTTACGGATGTTGTACCATCCTTGCATCTATGGGATAAATCCTACTTGGTCATGGTGTATGATCCTTCTGATGTACTGCTGGATCCGATTTGCTAAGATTTTGTTGAGGATTTTGGCATCTATGTTCATGAGGGATATTGGCCTGTAATTCTCTTTCATTGTGATGTCTTTACCTGGTTTTGGTATTAGGGTGATGCTGGCTTCATAGAATGAGCTTGGAAGTGTTCCTTCCTCTTGAATTTTTGTAGTAGTCTGAGGAGGGTAGGTTTTAGTTCTTCCTTGAATGTTTGGTAAAACTCCCCTGTGAAGCCGTCTGGCCCTGGGCTTTTGTTTGTTGGAAGCTTTCTGATGACTGCTTCAATTTCTTCCATAGTTATTGGCCTATTGAGGTTTTTAGATTCTTCCTGATTGAGTTTTGGAATGTTGTATTTTTCTAGGAATTTGTCCATTTCCTCCAGGTTGTCTAGTTTGTTGGAGTAGAGTTGCCCGTAGTATTGTTTAGCAATCATTTGTATTTCTGTGGGGTCTGTTGTTATTTCGCCTCTATCATTTCTGATTTGGTTTATTTGGGACCTCTATCTTTGCTTCTTGGTGAGCCTGGCTAGGGGTTTGTCAATCTTGTTTATCCTTTCAAAGAACCAGCTCTTGGTTTCATTGATTTTCTGTATTGTTTTTTTGGTCTCTATTTCATTGATTTCTGCTCTAATCTTTATTATCTCCTTCCTTCTGCTCACTCTGGGGTTTTCTTGTTGCTCTCTTTCTAATTCTTTGAGTTGTAGAGTTAGATGATTAACTACCATTTTTTCTTGTTTTTTGAGATAGGCCTGTAGAGCTATAAACCTCCCTCTCAGGACTGCTTTCATTGTGTCCCAGAGGTTTTGGATTGTTGTGTTTTCATTGTCATTAGTGTCCAGGATGTTTTTAATTTCTTCTTTGATGTCATTGGTAACCCAATCAATGTTTAATAACATGCTATTCAGCTTCCAAGTGTTTGAGTATTTTGGGTTGTTTTTATTGTAGTTTATTTCTAACATTATGCCATCGTGGTCTGAGAAGATGCTTTTTATGATTTCAATCTTCTTGAATTTGTGGAGACTTTGCTTGTGACCCAATATGTGGTCTATTTTTGAATGTGTCCCATGAGCACCTGAGAGGAATGTATATTCCGCAGCTGTGGAGTGAAGTGTTCTGAAGATGTCAATTAAGTCCATCTGATCTAGTGAGTCATTTAGGATTGCTGTTTCTTTGCTGATTGTTTGTCTACCGGATTTATCCAGTGATGTCAGTGGTGTATTAAAGTCCCCTACTATGATTGTATTTGTTGTCGATCTCTCCCCTGATATCTTCCAGAAGTTTTCTTATGTATTGTGGGTGCCTCCTGCATTTGGGCATATATGTTTTACCAGGATTATATCTTCCTTGTTGTAATGGATCCCTTTAGTATTATGAAGTGGCCTTCCTTATCTCTGGTTATAGGCCTTCACTTTGAGATGTATTTTGTCAGATATAAGTATTGCTACCCCAGCTTTCTTTTCCTTTCCATTTGCGTGAAAGATATTTTTCCATCCCTTCACTTTCAGTCTATGTGAGTCCCTTCTAATGAGGTGTGTCTCTTGTAGACAGCAGATGTATGGGTCATGTTTTTTTTATCCATTCAGCCACTCGATGTCTTTTGGTTGGAGCATTTAGTCCATTTACATTTAAAGTTATTATTGAAAGGTACTTGTTTGTAGCCATTTCTTTTTGTGTGTGTGTGTGGCTGTTTTCTTTCTGAGCTTGATATTTCTTCTTTTTACACCAGTCCCTTTAGCATTTCTTGCATGGCTGGCTTGGTGGTGATAAACTCCCTTAGCCCTTTTTTGTCTGTGAAGCTTCTTATTTCCCCTTCAATTTTGAATGATGGCCTTGCTCATAGAGTATTCTTATATTCAGTCCTTTGCTTTGCATCACTTTGTAGATTTCCGTCCATTCTTTTCTGGCCTGATGTGTTTCTGTTGAGAAATCATTTGATAATCTAATGGGAGATCCCTTGTATGTAACTTTCCGTCTCTCTCTTGCAGCCTGTAAGATTCTCTCTTTATCCTGAACATTTGCCATGGTAATTATGATGTGTCTTGGTGTGGGTCTTTTCGGGTTCACCTTGTTTGGGACTCTCTGGGCTTGTGTGACTTTTTTCTTCCCCACCTCAGGGAAGTTTTCTGATATTATTTCTTCAAATAGGTTTTCTAATCCATGTTCATCTTTCTGTTGTTCTGGCACCCCTATTATTCGTATGTTGTTTCGTTTCATGTTGTCCCACAGCTCCCTTAGGCTCTCCTCCTGTCTTTTAATTTTTTTCTCCATTTGCAGTACAGTTTGAGTGTGTTTTGCTTCCTTGTCTTCTAATTCACTAATTCGGTCCTTCGCTTCTCCCAGTCTACTGTTGATACTTTCAATGGTGTTTTTTATTGCAGCTATGTCGCTCTTCATTTCCTCTTGGGACTTACTTAAGTTATTGATTTTTTCATCTGTTTCTTCTAGCTTCTTGCATAAGTAGTTGAGTTTTTCATCTGTTTCTTCTTGTTTCTTGAACATCCGGTGCATGTACTCTAGGAACCTTATTCTGAATTCTTTTTCCGTCATGTTGCATATCTCTGTCTCACTTAGCTGCTTTTCTGGCGAGTCCTCCTTTTCTTTCCTTTGGGGGTTTCTTTGTCTACCCATGTTTGATCTCACTGACATGACTAGTTGTTGAGTCGTTCAGTGGCTGGACCCTGGGTGGCAGTGGCTGCTCCCTGGGGGCAGTGGCTCCTCGGGCTGTGGTTGCTCCTTGGGCGGTTGTGGTAGCAGCGGCTCCTCTGTTGATAGCAGAGCCTCTGGTGGGTGCTGTTCACAGCTGTGGTGGCTCTTCTGGCTGGTGGAGGGAGGCTTCACAGACAGCGACTGTTCCCCAGGCAGAGCGTGTGGTGATCAGGAGGCCGCTGTTGCTTGAATCGCGGCCAGTCAGACTCTACGGATTGGGGGGGTCTCTCAATGGTTTTGGGGAACCCGGACGAGCCCCCAAATGTTATGCCCAGATTTCAGGATCCCCAAGAAACCACATCAGGGAGCCAGCCAGTCCGATGCAAAAGCATAAGAGTCTTTATTCGAGCTAGCTCGGCTCCCCCACCTTGCCGACGCAGCGACAGGAAGCAGAGAGCGATTATGGTCCATTTAAATCTCTTTTTCTTCACTTAGTATATGGGACCAGATATCATGTTATTTGATGGTTAGATAGTAGAGTTAGCAATGGTCCCTGCTGCCAAAAACTTCCATGTTTCTAGAGGAGAAAAGAAATGCCACATAAGTAGATACAGTACTAGATTTTAAATAGGGGAATGAGAAGTAAGTGCATGTTAAACAGTCAGTCTTTCTCATCTTAATTCCATTTCTGTATCCCTTTTGGGATACCAAAATTTCCAGCAGCAGAAGTCTGTAGTTAGGAATCCAAACCTTTCTCTGCCCTGTTCATTTTGATGGTTGGCACAAGGGCAGGAAGGTGAATGTATATGCAGTTGTGAATCAGGGTAATCTGCATGGTGGGTAAGCTCCCCCAGTGTCCCATGTGCACTTCACTGCCCCCTCTGCTTCACCCCCCATATGCTTAATGCGTCTTTAGTCTCCCAAGAATGTTGGCTTAATTTTTGGATATATAGGTAAGGTCTAATTTTTGTTTATTTATATTTTTGGCAGCATAAAATGGTAATGTAATAATAAAATACTTAATATAGAGTATTCTTGAGGTAAATTCTCATTTTTGAAATCCTGTAAGATATAGTATGATACATACACCCACACCCCCTCCTCTATTAATCAGTGGCACCAAACCTAAGAGTTGGGCTTGGATTGAGTCTTACTCCACAGACAGAGAGTAGGAGACTTGTATCTGGATTGCTGTTCAATTTTAATTAATAAATCTTGCTCCATAATGTTGCAGAAGAAATAAAACTGCTTAAACATGTCTTACGTATGTAAATTTTTAAGGAAAGCTGGCAGCTAAGGAGAGGCGGAAGTGAAATTGGAGATGTGGATTATGACAAGGAACTCAATGTGGCTGGAAATATGGTGATATGGAGCAAAGGAAGTACAAGCCAGGCCTTTACAAGGCCTTTACAGTTAATAGTCCTGTTCAAAAGGTGAGTTGATTTGAATTTTAGTATTTGATTGATTATTGAGTAATTTTTTAAAAACAAAGCTTTTATTTTAAAATTTAACAGAAATAATAAAAACAAAATATAATGATCCCAGTAGCTAGATATATGTTTTAACATGTAGTGAAGATAATGGTAGGGAAATAAACATTTCATTTATTTTCTGTATCATTTTTTTACATTGTTCTTTGTCAATTTAATGGTAATGTTTAAACACTTGAGTAATTCAATTAGTTATTGCCAAAAAAATTTATAAGACTTAATTGTAAGGGTATAAGGATATATTAGCACATGATTATATTTGGTTGCAAGAGTTGGAATAAATAAAAATCAGGTTCATAGTAAAAATACTCAGAGAGTAAGGGAAAGAAAAAAAAACTATTACAATCACTGTTTTTAAAGGTTGTCTAGTGCTGACATGAATGTTTGTTTGTATTCCTGTATGAGAGGACTGCAGCTTAACTGCTATCCACAAAAAC